TAGTACGGGATTTCCCTGATGTGTTTCCAGCTGATCTTCCGGGCATGCCACCCGATAGAGACATTGATTTTGGCATTGATCTGTTGCCGGGCACTCAGCCCATTTCTATCCCTCCGTACCATATGGCTCCTCCTGAGCTGAAGGAGTTGAAGGAGCAATTGCAAGAATTACTTGATAAGGGTTTTATTCGGCTTAGTGTATCGCCTTGGGGCGCTCCGGTGTTATTTGTGAAGAAGAAGGATGGTTCTATGCGCATGTGTATTGATTACCGCCAGTTGAATAAGGTAACAGTGAAGAACCGCTATCCCTTGCCTCGTATTGATGACATGTTCAACCAGTTGCAGGGTGACTGTGTGTTTTCTAAGATTGACTTGCGTTTAGGCTATCATCAGTTGAAGATTCGGGAGCCAGATATCCCGAAGACTGCCTTCAGGACTCGGTATGGTCATTACGAGTTCCTTGTTATGTCTTTTGGGCTAACTAATGCCCCAGCAGCCTTCATGCATCTGATGCACAGTGTTTTCCGGCCATATCTTGATTCGTTCATGATCGTTTTTATTGATGACATTCTGGTGTACTCCCGGAGTTGGGGAGAGCATGAGCAGCACCTGAGGACAGTGCTCCAGACCTTGAGAGAGAAGAAGTTGTATGCTAAGTTCTTAAAATGTGAGTTTTGGTTGGATTTCGTAGCATTCTTGGGTCATGTGGTCTCGAGAGAGGGTATTCAGGTGGATCCGAAGAAAGTGGAGGCCGTGCAGAGTTGGCCCAAACCATCCTCAGCTACAGAGATTCGTAGTTTTCTTGGCTTGGCAGGTTATTACTGTCAATTTGTTCAGGGGTTTTCATCTATTGCAGCACCTATGACCAAACTGACCCAGAAGGGTGCTCCGTTCCAGTGGACGGACGAGTGAGAGGCGAGCTTTCAGAAGCTCAAGACAGCCCTGACTACAGCCCCAGTTTTGATATTGCCTACAGGTTCGGGGTCTTATACTGTCTATTGTGATACCTCGAGAGTTGGCCTTGGAGCGGTATTGATGCAGGATGGTAGGGTGATTGCCTACGCATCCAGACAGTTGAAGATACACGAGAAGAATTATCCTGTCCAAGATCTTGAGTTAGCTGCCATTATTCATGCCTTGAAGATCTGGCGTCATTACTTGTACGGTGTGCCTTGTGAGATATATACTGATCACCGGAGCTTGCAGCATTTGTTCAAGCAAAAGGATCTAAATTTGCGCCAGAGGAGGTGGTTATAGTTGCTAAAAGATTATGACATTACTATTTTGTATCACCCAGGCAAGGCCAATGTAGTGGCTGATGCCTTGAGTCGCCGGGCGGAGAGTTTGGGGAGTTTGGCATATTTACCCGCATCGGAGAGGCCCATGGCGATGGATGTTCAGGCCTTAGCCAGCCAGTTTGTGAGATTGGACCTTTCGGGGCCCAGCCGGGTTCTAGCTTGTGTGGTCTCTCGGTCTTCCTTGTTTGATCGTATCCGGGAGCGTTAGTTTGATGACCCTCATTTGCTTGTCCTCAAGTACAAAGTGTTGCATGGCAATGCTCTAGATGTGACTATTGGTGATGACGGAGTATTGAGGATGCAGGGTCGAGTTTCTGTACCCAATGTCGACGGGCTTCGGGAGTTGATTCTAGAGGAGGCCCATAGTTCGCGGTATTCCATTCATCCGGGTGCCGCGAAGATGTATCAGGATTTGAGGCAGCACTACTGGTGGAGGCGGATGAAGAAGGATATAGTTGGGTTTGTAGCTCGGTGCCTTAATTGTCAGCAGGTGAAGTATGAGCACCAGAGACCGGGTGGATTGCTTCAGCAGATAGAGATTCCGGAGTGGAAGTGGGAGCGGATCACCATGGACTTCGTATCTGGACTCCCACGGACTTTGAGGAAGTTCGATGCCATTTGGGTTATTGTGGATCGGCTGACCAAGTCCGCACATTTCATCCCTGTGTGTACTACTGATGATAGGCTATAATTACGTATTTTAGTCGATTATTACACTCTAATTTACTGCACTTTAATTGAGTTTGTGCTTTAATCGCTAGTGTTTTGAACTAATGGTGTGTTTTATGCCTTGTAGGAGTGATTCCGAGATATGTAGATGTTATGGAATGAATTCAAGTGATTTGGAGCTTTGAAGTATGAGTGAAAGTTCAAGGAATTAAGCCGGGATCATGTTTGGGGGTCAACTTTGATATTAAGAACAAACGAAGACTCGAGTAGGCATATTGTGCACTGTCTAGTAAAATACACTTAACTTTTTGCTCAGAACTCCATTTGGGCTCCACAATATATGGTTGGAAAGCTAACTCCAAGTGATACAACTTTCTTATTTTACGTTTTTCTAAATTCTAATCGAAATAGGGTGAAAATGCGCGTCAATAGCATGGTCGCGCTCAGGCCGCGCTCGTCAAGCAGAACACTGGGCCACTAGCGCGACCACGGTAGTCAAACCCGGGAAAAGTGTCCTTTTTCACATTGGAGAAGGTATAATTGTTTGGGCCCAACCCTACTTGGTATATATACATGGAAAACGGTAATTTGAGAGAGGAGGACGTTTTTGAGAGGAAAATACAAGCACAGGGCCGGGTTTCATCTTTTCTTCCGCCAAAATTAGTAATTTTTATGTTTTCTTTGTATGATTTGTTCTTTTGCTACCATGTCTATGTGGAGCTAAACTTCACGTTCTAGGGTTGTGGTTCTTTCATGAATATTGTTCTTCGGATATTGATTTTGATTTCTTAGTTTATTATATTGATTTATTTATTCAATCCTGCACTTAATTATTCGATTGTTTGATCACCAATTGAATACTATATACGAATCTAGAGTTGAACTCGAAAGTGGGAATTCTAGATTGCATATAGGATTGAATAGAGCAAGTTCTTGAACCTGGGCATCGGGGAACGGATTCGCGGTTAGGATAGTCATATACCTAATTGTCTTGCTTGGTTGAAATACAGGAATTATAAATGTGTTCTCTTTGATTCTAACTCCATAGACATATAGGCGTTAGGTTAGCTTGAATATGCGAGTAAGAACTGGACAGATTCTTATGAGCAATATTAACCCTGTCAACCAATAAACTAGATAAATTGGTTAGTCAATTCTATTGAAGAATACAATAGGAATGTTAGATAGCCCATAACCCTAGATCCTTTTCATTACATTGATATCATAAAAATCTGCTCTGTTCAAAGTTCATTATTTCTCTTTATTTAATTAGTTTAGAATCAAATATTTCTAGGTTTAATTCTTGTTTAGATAATTAGGATAGTCTAATTTAGTTAATAGTTAATCACAAGTCCTCATGGGAACGATACTCTACTCACTACTTTATTACTTGACGATCACGTGCACTTGCGTGAGTGCGTTTGGCCACAACAAGTTTTTGGCGCCGTTGCCGGGGACTTAGAAATTAACTGTTTTTCTAAATTAGACTTTTACTTTTATCTTTACAAGTTTTTTTTTATTCTTCTCTTTTGTAAATATTTTTAATTTTATAACTATTTGACTTTTCTCCTAGTGTGTTTCTAGTTCTCTCAACATGACATCTGGGAGGTCTGAATTTGAATATGGGAGTAAGGGTTGGTATTGGGACGTATATTCTCGATTAGGCGAATATGCAGAACGACGTTGTCTTCTGACAACGTTGGTGAATGATTGATCTAAGGAGAGATATGAACTTGCACATAAAATTGATAATTTTGGCTTGGTTGTACATAACTTAGATGCAGATTTGAGTGCAAAAGTTGATGCGTGTAACGCCCAACAATTTAATGATGAGTTGTGTGAAGCTGAAAAAGATCTGCTAGACCAAATTGAGCAGCTAAAACGAGAATACCAAGCATTAGACCATATTCCCCTTGATGATGCCAATATTGAGAAGAGTGCTCTAGAGTCATGTGAGAGAGTAGATAACATTACTTTGGGAGACTTGAGTGTGTGTATATATGGGGATGTAAATAATAGTACAATTCATGAGTTAGGGTGCAATAAACCTCATTCCAATCATTTTTCTAAATTGTGTTTAGATAGTGAGATACTAATCAAGCCATCTGAGCCTAGGGGGGAGTCAAAGAGTGAGGATGAGAGTGCCTGTATTCTTGAATTTGTTGTGCCAGAAAGCAAAAATTATATTCCCCATCTAAAGGTCAAGAAGTGCATAGTGAAAAAATTATTACTTGGCCTGGTTATCATTATAGCCCCACCAAAGGAGCATAGCCGCAGACTGGATATCATGCTAGGGGTAAAATTTATAAGTTCAAGGTGGAGGAAAAAGTGGTTTACGTCGTGCCGCGACGTTAAATTAGGCGCTTGTTGGGAGGCAACCCAACTTTACTGCTTTCTTTTATTTATGTCTATTTTATTATTTTTATTATTTTTGTAGTGTTGTTTTATTTTGTAAGATTTTGAGCATAGGGAGCAAAGCCACAAGAAGTGTGCAAAAGTGAGCCATGTGGTTAGAACTTAGTGTGGGGTGCTCGCACAAAGGACTGTACCTGGGAGAAGTCTGAGTATCCCGTGAGCTGCTAATGCTTCGACCTTTGGTCTACCAGGGAGTCTCTTTTACCCTCTTGTTATTTTGAGGCAGGAGGACATTGCACAATTTTAAGTGTGGGGTGAGGAGATTGTCTGGGTAATTTTCTGTGCTATGTTAGCTTAGTTATAGTACTCGTTCTTATTGTGGTAATTTTTTTTAAAAATACAAAAAAAAATCAAAAAATTTGGACTTTTCCCGACGATGGATTTTGTGGATAGCTTTCTTGAGGGATTAAAGTCTAAACAAAAAACACAAAAATATGTCTTTTAGCTTTCTTTAGGTAGTAATAATGCCCCGTGGTTTTTCTTTGTGCATCGGTTCTTTTCCATGAGATGTAGTTTGAACTGGGTAGTAGTTTTTTATTTTATTTTTTTTAGAGTAGATTAGGACTTTAGAAAATAAAAGGAGGAAGGGTGATGAACTTAGGTTCCTTTGACTTGTTTGATAGTAGCATATTTAAGCTTTGGCATGTGGAGTATCTTCCCAATGTTTTGAAATTGTTCATGATGCCTTGACTAAATTGGATAACATGTTATGTGGCGCCTATGTCTCGTTTAATTGACTTATGTTCAATTTGTGCTTAATGCTTAATATCTTGTGGCTCCATGAATACTTGCATTGTTTGAGAGTCGGAATGGAACCATCCTTAGTGAGTCATGTGCCATGTGTGGCGAGGTTTTTGTGTAGTCTATGTATTGTACTTGCGTCTAGAACTTGCCCGGTATGTGAGTTGAAGCGAAAATTTAGGTAATGCTCGGTTTGAAAAATAATTTAGGCTTTCTTTGAGCTTTTTGAGCTTTATTGCTTATCACAAAAAAAATCTATCCCTAGTTAGCCCTTTTGAGCCTATAGACTTTTATCTGACACCCACATTACAAGCTTATACCCTTTTTGTTCTTAATTGACATTGTTTTGATCCTTTTACCTCTTAAAGCACTCTAATTGTGAGATGAGCGCTAAAAGAAGTAAGAAGGAACTAAGTGTGGGGTGGCTTTTGAGTGGAACCAATAAAAGGAAGAAAGGTGCACTTATTTTTTAAAATAATACACCACTAACGGAAATCGAAAAAAAAGAATAATCTGGAAAAAAAAAAGAAAAAAAATAGAGATGAATACATT